GCCAGCCACTCCACCCTCCCATGCTAATGCAGAAGAAAACTGGGACTCATGCAGAGAGCTTTCAATGCCTCAGCCAAAGTTCGAGTAATCTGTCTGAAGGTTTCTACGTCTATAAGTCAAGAGTGACCTTGACATGATGAGGAAAGTCAACGTCAATTAAATGCGACAGCGAACAGGCTCAAGTCAGCAAACCAGGCACTTGGAGAGGGGAAAAGATGTCATGGTGAATCAAAAGGTTTCTTGCAATGCTGAAAAGCGTGCATCCGCAGTAGAATATGCTGTTAACTTATAACGCCTTTTAGGTTGTAGTTTTAGTAGATAGGAAGAAGCTGTTAACCATTGATTTGCGCTTGATCTATTGCATCTTTAGCCTTGTACAATGATGTAGCCAAATTTTTTGAAAATTGTCTTAAATGCTACACAGTGAATGGTAGCAAATTAATTGTCAATGGATTCCTACAGCATACTGTATTCGGACCAGCCGTTAAAATTTACTTACCATGCACAACTGTAGTCAGAAATCAACATTTAAAACTTTGTGAATTTTGCTTCACAAATAGCTTGCCTGATTATGACCAGTTTAGTGAAATTGGGGATAAGGCACCAAATAGTTTAGAACTACTATACCAAAGCAAATACAGTGTTTGCTTCATCGTATGAAACAATAAAATACAAATTAACCCACTTAAAAAAATAATTTCCGAAAAATTTCCTTATCTGAGTAAAGCCATCTGTTAAGCCGCAATATGAAAAAAAATCAGTTATTCTTTACCATTTGAGTAGATCCAAAAATCCCAGGATGGGGATGTGCTGTGCAAAGTCACTAAAGCTTTATATGACCACAAGTAGAAGCATGGAAATGCCATTTGCATGAATATACACATTTGTATTTTAGTCTTCGTTACTTACTTTTAATTAACTAGTCATTTATTAGGCAGCTTCTGATTTAATATGGCTGACTGGGTAACTGAATATAGTCATGTCTTTTGATGAATTACATGTCTGCGTTTGCGTATTGATGTTACATGTTGCCAGTAACTAAGACCACACACTCACACAGATAATTATTACGTTAAATCCGATATCAAACCCTAGCTACCCCACTCTCCCACGCTAATACAACACAGGACCCCTTGTAGAGCTTCCATTGCCTCAGCCAAAGACCGAGTGATCTGTCTGAATGCACTCACTTAAACATGTCAAGCATGACCTTGACCTGATGGGTGAAGCTGTCTGTAGGTTGCCGTCGTGACTCGCCCACTGAAGTGGTGTGGTCGCAGGAATTGCGAAGTCCAGTCTTCGAGAATACTGAACCCCCAACAACTAAGCAGTCTTTTCAGATTGAAACTCCTGCTTAACTGTAATATAGATTGCAATTTTAGTGTGTGTTCCATAAAATCGGCAAAACTGCTAACTTTTACGAAAAGATTAAATCCACATAGTCGATGTCGTATTTTCTAATTATAGCCACCAACCAAACAGGAAATTTCTTTCTAAGAAATTTATTGCACCCTGTTTATGCACATGCCTTTTATTCAACGTGCATTCTCAAGAAGTGATGTACGCATTCTGCAGCTTTTAAAGCAAACCAAAGACTACACCACCCAAATTGGGCCAAAGAATTTATGCATTTTGACATATTAACTCGCCACTTGCCTAGCAACGCGTGATTTGGTGATTTGGGCTGTGTCGTCTTAAAAATACCTATTAGAATTCGATTTTACTCGTTCACGTAGCAGCAAATGACATTCTATGAGGAATTAATGCCCATGTATTGAAGGAAATTTGACCAGCACATTGCAAATCAGGGCAAACTGAAAGATGGACGTTTAACTTTGGATAAAATCAATGACGTTGGTGAAATTGCCATACATGTTAAGAGGTTAGATGGGCCACTAAAAGACTTAATTTCCTTCGGCTTCATTGGTTTATAACGGCAAGATTTCTTCTGATTCGTAGCTGATTATAGCACACTGATGTTCCGTGCAAACCAATTATGGGCTCATAGTTCCTGTCTTTGATTGTTAGCGCAAACTGGCCCACAGATACCACAAGCTTCTGTTTGTTTGCCATGCAAGTGCATTTGTCCATATCTCAGTGTCGTCATTTTACTTTTAATTTCATCGAACGCATTACTAGGTTAATTACAAAAACCTAAAAAAATTCTAATTTGATTCCAGAACCAAACTGCGAAACAACTATTAGTCTAATGAAGTTTTGCAATTTACGCAACCTAGGTGATCTAACTGCCTGTTACCTTTTGGACTTCTTAAACAAACAAATTCGAAAAATAGTGAAAGTGTCCAAGTAATGAGCCCTTTTACGCCAAGCAGGAAATGAAGAAAGTCTGTGTACTTTTTTCGCAGTTTCGTCATTCCATTTGGCCACCTTCTGAGGGTAATTGGTGTTTACTGAACAAATTTGTGCAGAAGTAGACCTTAGCAAAGAACCTGTGAGTTTCAGCTTAATGTTAGCTGCTACGTGCTACGGGAAGCTTAACAGAATTGTCATACTTACTGAATGAGGAAAGGAGGGAGATAAATTGTTTTGAAACCACACATTCTGCAGAAAAAAAGCAAAAATGTGGCGTCCACGTAATTTTAACTTTAAAACCAAAATTAGAGTCCTATAATGAACCACTTCATCTGGTTAAAATAGAAGCAGAATGTGAAAGTACACGTTGATTTCATCAACTAGAGAAACTTGAGTTTGCTTAATCAAGCAGACAATGCTAAAGCTAACTTGTACCGCTCAGTTTGAATGTTTGGCTTGAAGTTGCATCGTAGCAAACCGCTAGTTATGCAGAATACTCGAGCCCTAGGATGGAGGAGACTGGCGCAACAAAACAGGCATTTTTAACCAATCACAAGGCACAACTAAACGTTAGGCGCCGTCCATACATCCGCTTCTCATTCGTGTTTTTCACTGGTTGGTAGCATATCTTCCACGCATGCCATTGGAACGCAAACAGACAGAGGATTGGCCGAGTCAAGCGTGGTCCAATATGTCCGCGCGCTTATAAATCGCTTCAGTTGAAAAGAGCGCACAGTTGTTTTAAGATCATATCTTCTAATTATGTATTCCACGAATTTATGCGGTTATTAGAACAAGTGTAGAAAAGAGTCCCCCACCGTTAAGTGTAAGCAAATGTAATACCAAGCAGTCTGTAGATAAGCCTCAATTTCACATAAAACGTCAGATTATATCGATTTCATTTACTTATTTGACCGGTCTGATTCCTACAAAGGAGCTTAAAAAATTAGGCCTTTTACACTCCGAAGGAGTCATAATAACGACAAAGTGCAGGTAGACATTGAAACCTCATGTATATTATTACGAATTTGCTAACACGCAAAAGATATTGCAGTAGGTCAATAGACAAATTTACGCAAGAATGAATTTTCCCTCAGGATATAAGTCCAGCAATATTAAATCACCTTTAAGACAATCCCGGTAACTCCAAGCTGATACAAACTTCACACAAACACTGATGGCAATGCATTTGTCACATTTGTTTCTAGAAGAATCAGAAAATTTGCGGACGTTCTCAGATGCTCAAGAAACCAAGGGGAGTTTCAACGGTATCAAGCCCTTTTGCTAGGATGAAAATCACGACATACAAATGCCCTTTTTTTATCTATCTTCTCCGCATGCTGCCGAAACAGTTGAGCCAACGCGTCGGACTAGTTAACTTGATACGCTTCGTGAGTGGACGATTAAAATTTGGGTGTTGAATTATTTGCCACAGGGATCCCACGTAGCTTTAACGGGACACAGCATAAATGAGATCGTTTATTCCTTAAACTGCACATTTTTACTCTAAATATTGCACAATCGTGTGTGATTAGTTGAAATTGCCTCCATAGCTAAATGGGCATAAATATATAGGATAAAACTGGGAGATAAAATGGTAGGCAGGCATCATGATCACCCATGCCTGCCTATATATTTAATGATTTCATTAGTCAAATTGTCAAATTGTCACTCTTGCAGTCACGACGTGAGGCAGATCGCTCAGTGTATTGTCTGAAATCGGAATTTATTTAATGTCGAAAGTATAGGTGATGGCTGATTGGACAAACTTATAAATGGCAAGTGGGGTTAGAATTTAAAAAAAAAGAGAACGGGATGTAACTGAAAGCGTCGAGGCAAATGGCGCATTGTTTGAACAGAGAATACGGGCACTTTCATGCCCGACATTGCTTTCTATAGCATTTGTATCCTCTAGGGCATCTGCTGCAACTGCGTCCCTCTTGGTAAGGTCTGCCCTGTAGCATCGAGTCGCTGCAAGCATTTATAAATGACGTTAATTCACGTAATGTGGATGCCCTAAACGTATTACATAAAAGAACATACCTTGGCTTGTACATGCATGCCATCACGTGGTAGACTTTTGAAGGTTCATAGTGACTTTGACACCGATTTCTGGCACAACCAACTTGTGTTGACGTCGCCCAAACCATCTTCACGTCAAGAGGCAAACGAATTCGGCAATCAGAAAAAAAAGGAAAATTAATTATCGACTCAAATCTGCTGAGCACTCAAATAAGTTAAAATAGTACCTCGTTAAATGAATGCCACCAAGATTATTTAAAGTATCCTAGATGGTTTTGGCAGGTAAAACATAGTTTCTGCTGTAACAACGCTCATCAAAAGATGTCTGTTTGTCTGCTTCAGCACACTAGATAACCTGTTTGGATAGCATTTGGCAAGTAGGTAAATGTCGAAACACTGACCACGTAAGTTGTAATCATATTTTGGTTGATACGTTTCCTTATCAGGGATCAAAACAGACGTTTCAAGTAACAAAATTTCTCACAATAGACAAAGTAAGAATGCATTCTCTTCAATGACTTGCCTCAGAAATGCGTAAGGGTAAGTTTGCCACTGCTGTTTAGTACTATTCCTTTATAATCAAAACCCACCCAAACCTACTCGTATTCCTGCTGATTTTCCCACTTTCTATTCCTTCGCGTTGGCAATCAGGTAAGTCAATTAATTTAAGTATACAATGATGTCTCACGTACCTGCTTGTAATCGTAGCAACTACCAAGGCAGGTGTTGTTTCTATAGACGTAGGCGCTATCATCGACTTGGAGCAATGCATCACGGTATTCGAGTTGTTGGTCACTCGATGGTAGTTGGATGTAACCCACCTGGCGAAATCGTGGAGAGGAAGCCGGAAAGGCGCCAGTACAAGCCTTCACGTACTCATCAGCTAGTTTCTCCATCTCGGTCGAGTATGTCTGCAGAAGAATAGGGACGAAATACAGACGCAGTGATAATGAAATTGTCGAATTATCATGTCGTCGTCAATGCCATTGGAAACTTTGGCAAGATTTAGTTAATGCAAAATGAAAATAGTTTAGTTAACTTGCGTGGATAAATGTTTGATACGTAAGATAACGTAATAATAAGTCATTATAAGCTAGCAGGTAACATAGAGAGCAACATTCTCGCAAATTAATTCAACAGATGACGGCGACAAGATATGAAGAAGGTCAGGGATTTAGCCACAATACATTTATAGACGCTTTGTGTTAATTTAATGTCAATGTCTAAACAAACCAGTAGTAGCATATTGCTGGCGATTGGTTTCACGCCCTCACGAAGCCTTGCATGGCAATCCAAAATTGCAGCTCGCTCCTCTCCTGATGGAACTTCGGCTATCACATTGGTAGTTAGGGCAAGAAGAAGGACTGGCAGCATCACTACGGATTCAATTTACTTAAAAGGACAATGAATATCAGCACTTGGGATGCAGCAGAAAAATTGGGTTCTCAAAAGGAGCTTAAATGGTGTTAGGTTATAGTGGTTGAAGACCACGAGAGGGATTCTGATTCGCCACTGATTAAAACCCACCACGTTTTCTCATGTACCTAAATTGTTTGCAGCCAACATACACTGAATAAGTGCCAAAGCAATAAAGGTGTTTACAGAATCCGTATGCTCACATGATGTCATTGAAAATGAAAATAAAATTGTGAATGCAGGGAGAATTGGAACCCCAAATTTTCGACATTAATTGCTACAAATTGACAGTCTCTTTAGGGAAACAAAATATGTAGAGAATCTTAATGTCTCTTTAAATTTTGATGCGTTCCGTGCATATAAATGGCAAGTGACCATTTCATCTAACGATAATACAACCTAACTAGCAAATCCTCTATTCCTGCGTCTTACCACAGAGCGACGACAAATATCTTACTACGTTGTGATAACTCTCAATACGGCATTGCTAAAAAAATTTAAAAGCACAGCCTTTTATCGTGGATGTCCAGCATTTAAACAAACTTTTTAACAAACTGCCAGGCAGGCATCCTCAAGATGATGTAGACATGGTTCAAGTAGCAAATTATATTGTATTTCACCAGAAATCAAATCCGCGATTTTGTCAAAACTCAGATTTTATAACTGGGCGATGGCTGGGGCCACTTTTAAAGCGGTGTTAATGCGCGTTAGACGTGATGCTTGATGTGGTGTCAAAAGCATAAGCACTTCCGAACATGAAGTGGTGGTCCAAAGGACTCTGAACATAAACTTATTTACTCAAATTTTTTTACTATAAATGTTATCAATGCTCAGTAGCCGCTGTTGATTTCGCCAAAGTTCTCTCCGATTCCTTAGATTCAGCCACACGGAACTTGCATACACGTTAAAGTGTGGCTTGCACTTGAAACTGGTGCCTGTGTGCGCCTAGACAGAGCGGCCGGTGGTAGTTCCAATGAATTTCCCTACCACAACGCACACATTGCATACGTTGTCACAATTAGCCTAACAGCATGAAATTCATTGAACCAAGGTGTCCGACGACGGCTGTCGAATTGCATCCCAGTAGTTGGTTAAGATCCTCGCCCTCAGGCAACTGTCATCTGCAAAGAGAAAATGAGTCGTGACGCATGGATTAAACGCTGGAGCCGTCTCCACTGACGACATGTTGTAGTAACATTGGATCGGCGGACGCAAATTTTGCTGGATGAGGTGTTTGCCAATAATTCGGCGAACATCCTTCATGACATCACAAAACAGATCAAATCACGGTGGACAGGCCGACGCCAAAAATCGCAGCTATTCCATATCAGCTCAATGAGAGCGTGCTACTAGCTACTTCAAACTATGAGACAAGCATTCTCAATTATGGTTTAGTGCACTTTCACCATTCTTTGTAGTCATACCGCTTGCATTGGTCACTTATTCACGTAACACCACTCCAAAATCCATCCGTGTAAGTTCCTTTTGATTGTCCACCATGCATTCTGACGCGTCTGTGGGAATATTAGTTGAGGCAGCAAAATGTTTCTACATAAGGTTTTGCTCGCGACCTGTTCAGTTTAGTAAAAGAATTCGTTGGAAGAGTAATGTCTATGGTGTGTGCTCTCGATTGCGGCCAAGTTCGTATCATCATATCAGTGTAACATTCACTGACAATGATCAATCTTTCTGCCAGGCTAGTAATGGAGAAGCAATAAATTATTGAAAACACGTGACTCTGTAAGGCGATATTTTATCATGCACTGGCAGTGAAATCAATCAGCAGTGGGTTTGACTGCTGAACTATGATTAAATCTTCAGTGACACGTTGATGCTTTCTACAAAGTAAATTCTACCTTGATTTTCCAGTTTGGGCTTGACAAAATTAACAGGAAAATTGCAAATTTTTATTGCTAATACTGCTCTGCGAAAACGAGGGCATGTGGCAACAGTTACTGAAGTGTTTTCAATGACATAGGATACCAAGAAAAGGAGCAGTGTAATCCAACTTGGCGATATTTAACTCACACAAAATCCAAAAAAATATTTTTCTACCACTACTACAGAGTAAATATAACAGGATTCCTAATGTGCTGTGTGCTTTGACTTGCATCCAAGGAATCAGACAATCAATCAAGCTGTTTACTAGAAATAAGTAATAAAACTTCAGGAAGTAATTCAAGGAAAACAGCTCAAGCCTACAAATCAAAAACAAATCGACCTTCTTAAAGACAATAATAAGTGTGCTTCACATGTTCTAAATCGCGGAAATTTATTTGTGCTTGGGTTGAAAGCCGTTTGCCATTTCATTTGCTGCCCTAATCTCTGACCATTCCTCATTTCTCCAACGTGGAATGTTCTGTAAAAAAATGAATTGTTCCTTCAAAAAAGATGCACAGACAAAGATGGGTGTGTTGCAGTGACGTCAGGTGTTTTCCCACATGAATAAAAGGCCAATTGAGCACTAGTGATTTTAAACATTTGGAATGCTTTGATTCCATTCAAGGGAAGATTCACGGCGTCGGAATGAGGGGCACCTAGAAACGTGTGGAAGTGTGAGCATCAAACTTCAGGATTGTACTCCAGCAGCTCGTTAACCTAACTTTCGAATGCTCATATGTAATTTGTTGAGTCAACTTTAAGGATTATGTCACCTAGTCGTTTTAGTAATCCTGATTTTGTGAACGGTTTAGCAAGCATTTCGTACTGAAAAGGAGTTTCTGTCAACACACTGCGCATCATTTCCATTTAGATCTCAAATATCCAACTTGCGTTTTTTACATGTCGACACCAGTGTTTCAAGGCAGGAAGTTGGTTAAAGGCGTAAGCCACCATGGTAATCCAACACCTTGTGGTGTGGTTTCTAAACGCTCGCTTTGATGTCTGCAAAGAGCCAAAGACCATATTTTGAACAAAAAATTAGCAACACAATTTAAGGCACCAACAAACCAGGTATTGGCTACTTGACATGAAACCTGTTCCAATTTATTGCGCTTGACTGATTGATTAGTGCAGAGACACAATGTGAATTGTGAAAATACAAGTTCATCTTTGTGGTCTACGTCGTTGATTCAGAACCCACAAGATCAGGATTTCACAGCACATGCTGTAATGCCTAGTAAAAGGCTCATGGATTGTGTTAGGAATGGAATTTCTCATTTGTTTCGTATACTCTCAACGACGTTCAAATCACAAGGAGTAGCGAAACATGTCCCGCAGAAAAATGCTGATTTCAAACAAATGATTTGGTTGCTGCCAACCTTTACTACATACACCCCAGTTGCACCACAGTCATTTTAGACCCAGGTGAATTTGCATGACTTTGAGCTTGAAAGGATAGATGTTTAATGAAATTGCTCCTAGTACCTGACAAATTCATTAAGTTCTTCAGTCTTCTAACTGCAGCTGCTGCACTTATCCATGATTTCAAGGGTTTGCCTGGTATTTATAACGAATAGTCAAGCAAACAGGCTCACAAAGGATCTGAGAATTTCCTGTAACTATTTTCCCGTTGGACTACCTTCGACCTTACACAATATTCTAGTTGACAAGATGAAAGACTTATAAGCTCACAAGTTTATTCGGAAATTAAAAAAATGGCTGTTTCCTTAAGGGAAAGCAAATCCATGAGACATTATTATCGGGGTGAAAACGTGTTCACACGCAATTTTTGCGGGGCGGTAATTCATTTGACCAAGTGCACTAGATACAGAGCAAGCATGAGTAGTGGAAGGGGTGAAAATATTGAAGAAATTGCATTCGTGTTATCGGCCTCTCCGATTGTCTGCTGCTCATTTACAGACGTTGTTTCATTTGTGTAGCATTGGTTTTGGTGGCATCGATATCCATTAGGGCACTTGGTGCAGCTGCCTCCTTTTTCATAGGGCTTTCCATCTAGCGTTGGTAACCTGAAGGTGCATTGTGGAAAACCGGAGGGAGGGGGGTTATCAACGAGAACGCAAATGCTCACAACATAGGTGCTTTGACTTACGATGGTTGGTAAAGACACGCGAGGAAGTAATAATAGGACTGACCAGATCTACTCGTATGTGCGCATCTCTGTGCTGCACACCCCACTTTGTTCGTTGACGCCGTAACCATCTTAGAACAAGGAAACACAAATTTGTATCTAGTTGTAACGGAAAGCTAAGGTCAGTTTCACCGACAACAATTGTGCCAGTTATTTGATCAAAATCCAGCAACGTGTAAGCGTTTACTGAATTGAATTAATTTACCGGACCCAGTGTATTGCTTTATGTAGAGGTACGAATTTGAATTTGGAGAAAACTTACCACCCTGTAATCATGCGATTCAGTTCCCGTGGTGTCATCTCCATAATTATAGGAACGCTCATCTACTTCGCACGCAAAGGTTATAAAATTCGGTTCGTCTCGGCCGTCCGTTGAAGTGATGACACCAACACCTTGTAGTGGTGAGTCATTTCCTGAATCCTGATTTGGTGGTGGACATTTGCTAACGAATTTGGTCGCCATTTGTTCCAAGTGTGTCGAATAGGTCTAAAACGAAGAAAGTTAACGTAAACGGAAACAGTGGTAATCGAAAGAATAAGCGATGGTGCCGGGTTTAAGGCACATGCACGTGCAAACAGAATAATTGTTGATGGCTAACAAAATTCTTCCTGTTCATCCGTATTCGCCGTTATGCTTTCGCTGAACCGACATGATCAATGCACAATTACAAATTCGTAACACAACCAGAACTTATTAACACTTAACAAATGTGTCTTATTGCAAGCAGCAGGAAATGTTTTGGTGCTTCATTTAAAAGTGATAAATGTCACTGTGATCAGTCAGAATAAGTGAAGTAAAAGCATGCTATTGTGGTAAGTGTGCGCCTCAACGAACATTCAAACATAGCGGAGGTGTAAATGCTATCCAAGATCTTACCATTAACAGCATATTGCTTGCAGGCGGTTGAACCTCCGCACGTAGCCTCGTGTGGCATTCAATGATATCTCCTCGCTCTTCGTCCGACGGAACCTCAGCTAGAACGCACCATACCAACGCCAGGAGATGGACGACACTGATCATGCTACCTGCAGAGTAAAAGACAAGATAATGAAATTGGCCAAAAAAAACAACGAATGCAAGGCAGATTGTAAGACCACATCAAACGACAACCTGGTGCAAATTAGGTGAGAATTTCTTAAGTGGTGTTTATATAGTATCATTGCCGCAAACTGCCGCTCTGCTTATTAAAACAGTTGTTCCCTCCCACCTGCTACTGATCACAGCAGCAGCAGCCAATGCAAGGGTGGCAATTACCAGCCTACAGCAGAGTGGGCTGATTTGTGATCAGCAATTTTTTTTGCTGCGGAAGTTGACGTAGACTAGTTCGTGGGATCGCAGTAATAAACGCCTGTGTTTTGGTGTAATGTATGTAGAATGCATCAAAAACATTGCGAGTGATATAGGATAGCATCTTTCTTTAAGCGGATTGAATGCGCTTTTAGATATTTAGTAAATTCAATCACATCAATATCGATATATTCACTCGGTCGCACGCATATTTGGCCTTTGTACTAGCTTCATAGTACCACGATTACTAGAATGGGTATCTATGTGATGACGATCCAATGACAGCACTCCGGGCAACTGAACTACTCTAGTAAGTTTTTAACGTGGATTTTTGCATGGCTATGCTGACAAGCACTATAGTTACAAACATCGCAACGGTTAATAGGCTCACTATCCATTTTCAGAAACACATGCAACTGACGAATCAAAAAATCTGGGATGCGTGACGAGAATTTCGAAATGTATTTTTTGTCAGGCCGGCGGCTGTATGCCACGTCGCAATTGCAGTATTTTTGTGCCTCAAATTATTCCGACTTGCATTCGTGGAACCACACAACCCATCAAGCAGATTTCTGTAAATAAGCGATAAAACTGTAGGAAGTAATTAAGGAAAACCTCTTTAGTTTGAAAATAAAAAAAACCCCAAATCTTATTACCATGCAATAATATATGTGTCACATGTGCTGTAACGTGTGGAAGCATTTGTGAGCATGTGTGTAAAACAATGCATCCTTCAATATGTTTTCCTTATCTTATACAGTTCCTGCTTCCTAGATGTGCACTGTTCACTGTCGGAGACTTAAAAGGATTAAAGTGGGATTTAAGTGAACTCACGCAATCAATTAACGCAATGTCATTATGTCAGCTATTTAGAACCGGACAAAATGGCACAGTGAATAACATTTTTTAAGAAATTTGACAAAGGCTTGCTTACTTGAAAGAAAG